GGGGGGGGGGGGAGAAAGACGAAAGACGAGGGATGGGAAGGGGTGGAAGATTCGCGGAAGACGATAGGCGCGTGCATGGAAACGCGCGAAACGCGACGGTCTGTCGGATGATGATGATGATCGGCACGCGACGATGGGATTGACTATTGTTGCGGACAGGTTTGCAGAAGCGGGATCGCGAGAGACAAAGGACGTTTGACGGCTCGTCTGCCGTAGGACGTAGGTGTAGGCTTTGCTTGAGTTCGAGTGAGACTCATTCTACAACAACCCTAAGTAGTCGTCTATAACATACGGAGGAAATTTGGCGTTATATAAGTTGGAGTAAGAAATAAGAATAACTTACTTCGCGCTCTTATGCCTTCTTTTGCTTAAGAGAAATACCTCCAGTCTAAGGCAGTTAGAGTATAGGCGTGAGCGCGAAATAAATTATTCTTATTTCTTATCCCAATTTACCAAGCGGAACGACCACTAAAAGTATGCAGACGTGAGCAGTAAATCAATTGATCAATCGAACTCATACAGAGTACTTCTTACTTGTCCAAGAACAATCGATTGTGACTGATCAATTTGCTTACTGCTTACGTCTTACTGTGCACTCCAAACGACTATTGTAGAATGGGCTTTAAGGATCGGCAATGGGGTTGCGCGGTTGCGTCTTGAAGTCGTAGTCTTTGATCGAATGCCATGACTTCAGGCATGTATAGACGATCCCTAAGAAATGCAGATAGTTTATTTCGCTCACGCTTATGCCTCACAGCTCCCTTACACCGGTTTCTGTCATATATAACTCATGGTAGCAACCATATTATTCGTTCAATCGACTAAATGTTTGCTTGAGGGAATTTTCTTCGAGTAAAGTCTCATTGAACTACTTGATATATACTTGATTTACTTGATATATTCATGTAGGAGTGAACATGTTCAACTTCTTTACACTATGCGAGTAGAGACTAAGAAAAATTTGCCTGAGAGATCAAGTGTGAAATTGTCAAACAATTGGTAGACAAAATTAAAAGAAGAGAACGAACAAGCGCGGCAAAATGGCGGCATGCCTACTCGAGCCAAAGATTAAACGAGAGAAACACTTCCGGTGCGAGGGAATTCGAGCACGAGGCGTGAGCGAGATGAGTCACATTTTTACTTCTTACTCCTACTTCTTATGCCAAGCTTACTCCGCGTATTTCGCGGTCGAGCCTTCATTCATCAAGGGCGTTCTCGCGACACGCACGTGCGATGAAAGTTCAAGACGCCGAGGTCTGCCGAGATCATCGTCGTCGTCGTTGTCGTCATGTTGTCGTCTCCACCTGGGCTGCAGCGCGACCTCGACTGATGTTCTCGTGACTGACATTCGACGTGGCGTAATCTAGGCCTCGCGATTCATTGGAGCACGATGTCGCGCGAGCGTCCGGCTGCTCGCCGTCCGTCGGCGAAGTAGCCGACGGGGATTCCCGAGGATCGTGGGCCGCCCCACGAGTCCCCGAGGAGCGCGTCTGCCAAGGTCGTCGGGACGAACGGGTCCTTTTCTGGGAGTAAATCGCGCGGATTGTTCGCGGGGGAGGAAACGCGGTATTCTGGGCAGGCGTGGTGAGGATGAGAAGGACCTCTCGCGGATCGGATGGGAAGTGAACTTATGTCGTGCCGGGCGAACGAGCGCAATCGGTCTCGACTCGCGAGTCTGATAATCTCGCTCGCTCGCTCGCTACCAGCGGCCAGTGATAGAAAGCTCGATTCCCGCACGGAACAAAAAGATTTGGTTGAATGAACCAAATATCTAGTCGACTATGAAGGATCCAAAAATTCTAATTGAAGTAACTCCGAATTCTGTTTAAGTTAACAAGATTTTTGTTTTACTTAAACAGAATTTGGTTTACTTCAATTGGAATTTCTGGATCCTTCATATTCGACCAGATATTTGGTTTGATTCAACCAAACTTTTCTTCCGTGCGAGCAGCACGCGACAGCACGGCAGGGGGATACGTACACATCACGTGTCCTCATGGATGCGTGCTGATGCGTGCTGCTCGGGAATCAAAGTTCCTATCACTGCCAGCGGCAGACGACGACGACGACGACGACGACGATGACGTTTCGTCAAGTTCGCGAAGACCCGTCGTGTCGCAGCAACGAAGAGGCGTGGAACTCCTTAACGATAAGAAATCCCGTCTCGATCTCTCAGGGCGCGCTGGGAGTGCCGGCGACGTCGACGTCGCTAAAGAGATCGAGAAATTCGCTTGGTTCTCGTTAACTTACCTGCGCGACGTCACCTCGCAAAATAAGGTCGGACATTTCTCCCGTTTCACGAGTCCATCGTTAGGGAAAAGCCGTCATTGTTTATAACTGGCAGCTCGTCACGCGAGACCTCTTTCGCGATGTCCGTTGTTGGTCTTTCTCGACGTTTCTCAATTCGGAGATTATTGGCTTACGCGCGCGCCTTACTTTTGTGCAATATAACGAAGTTTCGTCGGGGTCGGACGAGGCAGGCCGATCGCGGGGAAATCAAAAAGTGGTGCTGTAGTCAAGAAAAAAAAAAAAGAAAAAACTTATTCCTCCCCGCGGAACGGCGCCTCGCCGGAAGCGAGCCGATCGAACAAACACCAAAGAGGCAAAAGGAAAAAGAAGAGAAAGAGAGAGAAATGGAGCTCACTATTATTGTACTCGTCGTGTGAGATAAATTGCGGCACGGCACCAGCCATGAAACCGAGGCCTGTATTTAATAGTCGTTACTCGAAACTTGCCTCGGCTGAGACACTCAGGTTCGAAATTGAGGTCAGATGTGAGTTTCTCAGCTGAATCACGTGACTGCACGTCACGTTCACCAACTATCATTCGATGGAAAAACTCAGAATCTCAGAATCTCTTTGAATTTCGATCTGAGCGTCTCACCTGCGACTGGCTTCAAGTAACGACTTTTGTTACGGCTTTGAGGTCCGTATTAATAGTGATTACTTGAAACTCATCTCAAGTGAAATACTCAGATTGCAATTCAAAGTTAGATGGGAGATTTTCTATTGAGTCGCAACTACGGATGTGTAAACATCACGTTTATCGCGGTTCAACTGGAAAACTTCTGACTCTGAATGAAAATCTGAGTATCTCACCTGAAACTAGTTTCAAGTAACAACTTTTAATACGGGCCTGAGACAACTAGACGTTCTTCTCGGCTAAACTGTTGCAACAAGTTCAAGTGAGACAAATATATTTCGTCATTTCACTCCAACTTATTGCACCAGAGTCGGTTCAGGCAGTCCGGCTAAAGAGAACGGACCTGATGTCGCGACGGATCGAGTGCAAAATCATCTTTGTCGCGTGAACGTCCGCGAAACTTGGTCGTTCGGGGGTTGGTTGGGAAAGGGTGGGAGGAAGAAGGGGTGGAGGGAGCTGAAAGTTTTCGAGCAACAACGAAACCGAGCCTGGTCTTCTTCGTGACACCGTGATCGCCGGTCGAAGGGATTCCAGCCATTGGGATCGTACGACGCGAACGGCTCTGCTGAAAATTACGAGATCATCTCTCGCGACCTTCCTTTCTTCTTTCTCATTGTTCTCGCAATCCCCCAAAAATCGACGACGAGAAGGCCCGCGAAGGCCTCGCGAACGCGGGAAGCACAACGGGATTTTCAGCGGAACCGTTCGGTGCGAATAAGTCGAAACAGCGTCGCTGTATGCTGAAATACGCACA